AAGCCAACTGTCAGCCTCTCAATGGCTTAGAGTCTCTCCTAACACCAGATTGGTGAAAAAGCACTATTCAAGACTACTGAAATTAGAAGAATTTCCAGTAAGCCACGTACCAGGAATGCGACAACAACATTCGGTAACTACCACTTTGTGGACACAAAAATTATCAGTAGCATTTATTTGATTAAGTTATTTCATAAAACACATAATTTACAAAAATGAAACTTTGTACATACTAGATGATAATACTCTAAAATTAGGTCAAAAAATTTTTTTCCTTTAACTTCCTAAAAGTAGTGTTTAAATCAAGCTTTCAGGGCTGGCCAGTTAGCTCAGTTGGTTAGAGCATGGTGTTAAAACACCAAGGTCAAGGGTTCAGATCTCTGTACTGGCTAGCCAACAACAAAAAAAATTATCAAGCTTTCAGCAATAGAAAGACTACTTTGGAAACCAGCATTATCAAAACTGAAACTAGAGCATAAAACCAGGCACAAAAAACTCTTTCAAACTTGAACACAGGGTAAGCTTTTGAATTTTAACAGAACTACATCCCCTTTCCTAACATCTCCTAGGAGTCTAGAACAATTCACACTGATGAGCTCACAGCAAATCATTTGACAGCGCCAGCGACTTTCAATGTCACTGATAGCTCTGAATATTTATTTCGGTCTTTCTGTTTTCTGTTCCTGCTACCTGAAATGCATTCCTCTAAGTCTCAGCACACCTCCATACCTTGCTAAGGCATTCATCAACTTATTTAAAAACAATTACTAAATGCTTATGTTGCAGATAATACGCAGATAAACAGCGTGTCTTTGCATGTGATGGGTTCGCTGTCTAGAGGACAAGATGGTTTCTAAGATAATTACATTCGTTTAAAGACTATTCACAATAGAGAGATATACAGTGCTCTACAGAACTCTGAAGAAGTCCAGCTCTTCTTAAAGTAGTCAGGGAAGGCTTCTAGGAGGTGGTGATATGTTATCCCAGTCTTGAAGATCAGGTAAGAACTCTTTGGTTGTAAATGGAAAAGGGAGAATCAGGCAAATCCCACTTTCTCCATGAAGACTTTCTCAGTCTTCCCAAATGTTTCATCTGTACTTGGGGTAAACGCCCTTAAATTCTTATTAAAGGCAACAGAGCTTAGAGGGTAATAATGACCTGAGTTCTAATCCTAGCTCCATCACTTTCAAGTTGTGTGACACTGAACAAGTTTGTTTACCTTTCTGAATCTGTTTCCTCATATCGGTGAAATGGGGGATGTGGGTGGGGGTAATAAATACCTTGCAAGGTTGTTGTAGGGATTAAACAAGATAATATCTATCATTTATGAAGGGCTTTACAATCCTATACATACGTGAATGCATGTACGGGTTTAATGCTGCACATACCACACTGAATATTTACCACAAATATTAGCTGTGTGGTCCTTGCCCATCCCATCTCCTATCCCTCTATTCCTGCTTGCTCTCTGCTACTCTGGCCTTCTTGCTAGTGCCTGATCTTGCCAAACTCCTGCTCCAGGATCTGGTGCTTGCTGTCCCCTTAGTGTATCTGCCTGATACCTGCTCACATTGCCTGACACCTGCTCACGTCATCTCCTCATCTCCCCAGAGAGACCTCTTGACCACAATTTTAAATAGCTGTCCCATCACTCTCAATTACCTGCTTTGTTTTATTTTATCATTTTTTTTTGGGGGGGGG